TAGCGAAACAGTAGTAAACATTTTATTATTATTATTATTATTATTAATATTATTGTCATTATTAACATAGTTGTTTAATGATTATCCTCCAAACCTTCCAACCTCCAACAACATTTTGCTACTTCCAACAATCTCCTGTTTAACAAAGAATCACTTAAAGAGCCGATCTTAATGGAGGAGGGGGGAGGGAGGGGAGGAGAGAAGGTTTATAGCTGGTAGAAATCTCAGAAAATTGCTTTCAATAATATGCTTTTTTTTCTTTTTTAAATCCATTAATGAAAACAAAACAAAAATCCTGTAGATAGGTCAACAACGAATAGCTGATATTATTACTGGAATTTAGGGTGCCAAGCGTCATTAATCTTAGAAGTGATATCCCTTGGTTATCTCTGTAAGATTAAGTCTCCAGGGTTCAAGTTCTCTTTCAATCTCAGGGTCCTAAATAGAACTAGAATAATTCTATCTCAAGATCATAAATAGAACTAGAATAGTTCTATCTTAGGGTCCTAAATAGAACTAGGATAATTCTATCTCAGGGTCCTAAATAGAACTAGGATAATTCTATCTCAGGTTCCTAAATAGAACTAGGATAATTATATCTCAGGGTCCCTAAATAGAACTAGAATAATTCTATCTCAGGGTCCTAAATAGAACTAGGATAATTATATCTCAGGATCCTAAATAGAACTAGGGTAATTGTATCCTAGGATCTTAAATATCTCAGGGTCCAAAATAGACCTAGAGTAAATTCATTTCAGGGTCCAAAATAGAACTTTTGTATAATTCTATTACAGAGTCCTAAATATAACTAAGATAATTCTATCTCATGGTCCTAAATAGAACTATTGGATGATTATATCTCAGGGTCCTAAATAGAACTATGATAATTCTATCTCAGGGTCCTTAAAAGAACTAGGATAATTATATCTCAGGATCCTAAATAAAACTAGAATAATTTTATCTCAGGGTCCTTAATAGAACTAGGGTATTGTATTTCAGGGTCCTAAAAAAAGTAGTATAGTTGTAAATAATTATTCTTCAACTTTTAGAAAGTAAATATTAATATTTCTTATATGCACGAGTATATATAACAATTTGAAATCAAAGTTATGACCAATAACAATAGTTTCTCTAGAGATAAATAGGAATTAGTCCGTCATCCTTGGGCAGGCGAAGGTTTCAAGGGTACTGTTGTGAATCGGAATGCCACTCTACAAATGAAGAGACACATGAAATTACGTTTACAGTCCCTTTTGCTATTTATCATAATAAATAAAAATCTAATTTCTAAGTTTTATTTTTAAATTTGTGAAATGTATGGTGTCAAAATTAGCATGTATGAAGCAAAAGCCATATATGTAGATAAGAGTAGGGTTTTATTTATGTTTTTATACAAATGTGAAAATTGTAAAGATAAACTATAAGTTAGAGGTGTAGAGGGGGGGGGGGGAAGGTTAATCTCTCACCCTGAATAAACCAATAATAATATTCAAGTTAAATAAATTCATGATTACATTTATATTTAAATGTATGTATCGATTTTTAAATTTTACATTTTCTGAATCAATTCATATATTGTATTATACACGGACAATATCCTGCACTGGAATATCAAGTTCAGTTTAAGCCGACTTTAGACCCTACAGGTGTACACATCTCTAGATCTACCTGACTATCTATCTATCTGTATTTCAAAGTATATATCTATCTATCTATCTATCTAACTTCACTTGTATATATCACACACTTACAGTCTGCTAGCTGTGCTGCTGTAGTGTGCATAAACGCACAGAATGAATTGCGTCGTGAATAAGCGCCTAGCTGCAAATCAAAATTAATGCGTAGTTTTGTAAAATATGGATCCAAAGATGAGCTTGGTTCCCGTCCTTCCTACTAAGTGATAGACTCGGAGTCAGGATGGTTTTACTCTCCCGTAAGGTTGGGTTTATCTCCTGTTCCTGTTCTAAGATACTGATTCTTCTAACATTCTCCTTCATCTCTTTATACCTGGTCAAGATTTTAGGGAACTCAAAATAACATTTTAATTAAAAAGTTAGATTATTTGAGAAGTAGTTGAACCACCTAGACTAAATTTAACCACTTGAACCGGCGCGCAAGAGAACTTGTTTAACCGGCGTTACGTGGTTCAACTACTAATCGCTATTCATTAAATCTTAAATATTAATATCCAACTATTCTCTGCAATAAAAATTTCTGAGAATATTTTTGCCTATAAAAAAATTATTCAAAAAAAAGATAATTTGAGTTGTATAGTTCGGATGGTTTACAACACCCAGGAGGGTCTCTCAGTCACATACGTAGACAGGAATCTTCTACAGGTATAATATTATACTTTCTATGCCAGGAAGTCAGGAAGAGGGGGGGGGGCTGATCCCTCCTCCCAAGACATAATTTCAATTGGCTCTGTAGTTATAAAGTGGAACATCGGATTCACAACGATACCCTTTTAAGATTTGTCTGATCAAAAATGAATAAGATATCCTAGCTTTTCTTTATGAAAATTGATTAATTCAATGATGAATTTTCTGTAAAGTGACGTATGCTCCGCGGATTTATAGCAAAGCAATACAGTAGAACGAAATCATCAGAATTCAACACGTTTCTAGAAAGAAAAACAACAAGAGCCTCCTTATTGTTACTCAGATAGAGGTGCAGTTGTGAATCTATAATTGAAGAGGTCACTTCAACTTTCATCTACAGTCCCTTAGAGATGCTGACAGTGTTCTGATTGTATATTTCTTTAGGAACATTTTTAGAATTTTAAAAATTAAGTTTTGATCTTTATATGTATATGTAACACTAGATTGAACTGGAAGGGGAGAGTGGAGAAGAGAAAGATAATCAGGCATTTATTGATATTCCTCGAGATAAACCAAAACTTTCCTTCTCGGCTAAAAGTACTCTTGAGAAGCTTCTAGAGAGGGAACAGCTAGAGAAATCAGCTGATCAGTTGACCAAGGAAAAAACTCCACCATTAGGTAATAGAGACTAAATCAATTCACTTCATTATTATTTTCGGACGCATTCGTATATAGTTGATATTTCATAATATTTTAAATTTGTATGATCCGAGAGTTACTTTTGAAAACATTAATTCCAGGCGCGCAACTAAGGGGGGGCCAGGCCCCCCCCCTAGCCTGATTAAGGGGGGGCATGCCCCTCCCTTAAGAAGTCTTGCCCCCCCTGTAGGGGGGGGGGGGGGCAAGAAATGACGAAGTCCATCCTGTTTTGCAATTTAGCGATTCATGAATCCTGACCCTGAGGAAATTTAAGAGCTTTATCGTAAAATAAAAAAAAGATAATTGAACGTTAGTTTATTGAGCTTATAGTTCAATCCATATAGCACTTAATACACCATATACACACATACAGACCCCCTTCGTCTCCGAGCCTAACTACTGCCGTAGATCAGAACAGTTTGACAAGGTTCAAATGTGTCTTAATCTTTGTTTTTTTTTTCACTATGCTGTTTTTTCCTGGGAAAGGAAAAGGGGGTTTATCAAGTATTTTTTAGATATTTTCACTATCAGTTCTGCCACATATTATGATATTGCTTTAATACTGTAGTACAACTATTCAATTAATCCTACATGTTCACCGCAAATATTGTGTGATGTGTCATATTAAAAAAAATATTTTTCATGTAAAATCATGAATTTTTAATAAAAGGCATTTCTTGTCAGTTTTTGAGTACAATGTACATATTTGATTTATGGATAACTTCAGCCGTGAAAACAAGTTGTAAGCTAAATATTATTTTAAAAAAAGAAAACTAAAAATATTATTAAATATCAACTATATACGAATACGCCGAAAAATTATTGATGATTAAAGGTTGCAATATCTGAATGATAATTGTTTCGAATTAAAATGATTTTTTTTTCGATCCGAGTGTTATGTTGCAAGTTTCTGAATTTGTATGGAGTATGGACGCTACGTTCTTCAGTATGAGTCGCTTTTAACAAATTTCTCCTTATAGACGCAACAGATAGAACTAAGATTATTAGCTACAGAGTGTCCCACATCATATTAGATCGTTAATCGGTCAAAATCACGATTATCAGGACTAATCAGATAATTTTAGAAGAATGAATCATTTTGAAAACTTGAATAAGGCTAATATAAGAATTTTCTTGTGGAAAATGCAAGGTCTTTCGAGTATTATGTTTTTTTTTAGCGTTAAAACTTGTAGATAATCTAATATGATATGGGACGCTCTGTATCACCATCGATAATTTTTCGCCGTAAGCCTATACCCCCTTTCATTTTTTGCAAGCACTCCCTTTAAGTTATGAAAAGTATTTTTAAAATATGTTTATTTTAAGCCTACATGCAGAGTTTCAAATATTATTAAGCTGATTTTTTTCTCATTCGACAATTTATTTTAGGTGGTCTATCAGGGGGTCAGATAATACCTGGGAATGCTGGACTTAGTCAGTTGAAGGTTTGCATTTTTACAATATCAAAATGTCAAAGTTAACTCCCCCCCCCCCCTTAAACATTTAAAAAATATAAATCATTAACCCATAGTTTTGACAAAATAGTAAAAAAAATATTAAAATTCAATAGTTTTTTTTTGCTAGGCGTCCTTGAAAGACCCGTCCTTTGTTGCTAAAATCAAGGACCTGGAGGACCGGAGGCAGGACCTCTATGTTTCAATATTAGAGAAGCGAGGACAAATTGTAACAAGTGAAGACGGATCTAAAACGATAGTTTCCTACCCTCAGGTAAAAAAACAATATTCATAAATTCACAGAAACATGCTGCTACTATCTCCCAGCATTCAGAAATTATAAAAGAAAACTATTCGCTTAAAGCGACTGTAAATATAATTTTTTGATAAAGTTGCACGTTCTATTCACAAAAGTACCCTATGTCATATCAAGTTTGTAAGATATCGATATTTTTGTTTTAAAAACTGTTTATTTTCATTAATGGTGTCTCTTCAAAAGTCAATTGCGCATTTCTTTCTTCTGAACCAATGGAGAAGTTATCAGAGTTAAACACTTTAAAATGACTTTATCTTCCACATTTCTGATCAGATTAAGGTTTCAAGGTTACCACCGTTGTGAATCGGGACATGTCACTCTTTTGACTGGAAGGTCATTTCAAATAGGAGGAAAGTCCTTTTGAATAACTGTTATTAGTTTAATATTATCATTTAGTGTTCTATAATAATCTATCCGTGACGAAGCTTTAATTACTTAATTAATTCTGAGCTGTGTTCTTTTAGTAATAAAGGCATTTCCCATCATGCATTAAACAGAATCTGATATACTCCCCATAAATCATAATGTTTAAATACTAATTTTTTGCAACCTCAATTCAAAACTCACGCTTGATCTAAATGTCCACTTCCGAAAACTTTTTCAGAGAGCTTTTTTATTGGTTACAAATTGATGTACAATATACAATTCATACATGTAAATAAACATGTATGAATTGTATATTGTATGTATATTGTACATATATGTAAATAGTGCATTCTAATTGAGTTCACTTTACTTTAATGGGGGGGGGGGGCTTTTCTAAATGTTCACAATAACATAATTGTTCAGAGTAAATAGGGTTAAATGGTAAAATAAAATTATTCTCCAGGTTCCAGTTAGATTCCCCAATAACCTAGAACGTAAACTCTCGGATTGGACGGAGAAAGAAAAGATTTGGTTAAACATCACACACTTCCCCTGGCCTCTGGACGAATCCTGTCGACGATTTTCCGTCACATTTGGCCGGAAACTACCTATAGTGGGACTAGCCAGCTATCCAAGCTCCGGAAACACGTGGATTAGGAAAACTAAAATGAATATTGTCCCGACATGTTTTTATCTCCAAAATGTCTAACAAAAAATAGTAGGTTTTAAGCGACTGTTTACAAAAATAGGGAAGGAGACAAATAATATGTGAAGAATTTTTTTTTACCGAATTATTGGGAGATAAACTTTGGTCAATATTGAAAAGTTGTGTTATGAATATATTGAAAAGTTGTGGTATGAATATATTGAAAAGTTGTGGTATGAATATATTTAAAGTTGTTGTATGAATATATTGAAAAGTTTTGGTATGAATATATTGAAAAGTTGTTAATTTATAATATAACTATTATTAAATTGTGATTTGATAATATAATAAATAATATAAACCTTGAAGGAAGTCTAGCATGAAACACAATACATTACAAAATACCAAAAAAACCAGATTACATCCTCAGACAAGCTGTTTTATAATTAATTTAATTCCAAACAAATCATTTAGATATTACAACCAATAATCATCGATTATTTTTCGACCCAATCGTTTATAGTTGATATTTCATAATATTTATTATTTTCATAATCTAATAGTAACTTTTAAAAACATTTATTTCTGTTTCGAGGTTTTTTGATGATAAAGACGACATTTTCATATTTTCCAGGAATGTTCGAAAATCCAGCGCCAGTGAAGTATTATTAAAAAACAAAACAAAACAAAATCAAAAATATTATGAAATATTAACTAGATATGAATGCGTCGGAAAATAATCAATGACTTTTGTTTGTAATATCTGAATGATTTGTTTGGAATTAAATTGATTATTTTACGATCCGAGTTGAATGTTGCAACTTTCTGAATTTGTATGGACGCTACGTTCTTCAGCATAAGTCGTCCTTAGAGACGCAACAAATATAAGTAGGATTAGCAGCGATCAAAAGCGCTTTATTTTTCACCGTAAGCCTATACCCCCTTACATTTTTTACGAACACTCCCTTTACAGGAAGTGTCGATGCAATTTAAAGTGACCCTCCATTAAAAAAGTTACATTTATCCATTTCCAGTATTTATTTAGTTTTGTTTACAGATATTTAATAGAAGGCATCTCTGGTTATTATACTGGAAGTATGTACAATGATCTTTCACTCAGGTATTTATTTCAACACTAGCGTTGGAACTCACATCAGTTTTTCATAGAAAAGTCATCCTGCTCAATTGAAAACTTTAAAACCAAGCTGAAAACATTCCCTTGCTTCTACCAAGTTCCCCTGTCAAAATTTGATTTATGATCGGGCATCCAAGCATATATGCAGTAGAACACAGCTTTGCCCAGAGTTTTCCCTATTATTAAAGTCATCAGCTACTGAAAACTTTAAAACCAAGCTGGAAACATTCTCTTGCTTCTACCAAGTTCCCCTGTCAAAATTTGATTTATGATCGGGCATCCAAGCATACATGCAGTAGAACCCAGCTTTGCCCAGAGTTTTCCCTATTAAAGTCATCAGCTACTGAAAACTTTAAAACCAAGCTAAAAACATTCCCTTGCTACTACCAAGCTTCGTGATTTGTGATAGAACAACGATTACTACTTTATATATACTGCGGAAGAACATTTCAGGAATCTTTAGAAGTTTACTCTTTTAAGAAGCTGAGTCTTTGCCACAAACTCAAATTTTCTAATACCCATATCTTTGCAACCTGACGATGTAGACCTTAGATATTCAAAACTTAGACTTTTGATATAATAGAATTCATAGTTTGAAATATCTAAGGTCTACGACTTTGGGTTGCAAAGATATAGGGGCTAGAACATCGGTCTTGTGACAAAGACTCAATTCCTTTATTTAAAATTCTCTTCTGTTGGCAGAAAGAAGGGATTTTATGGAGAAGGACTTTCTTCCGACAGTCAGATGGTACTAACTGTTAAAACACATGGACATACAACAGAAAAAGGTAAAAAAAAATATCAACCAACAGAGAACTTTTAATACAGTCTTCGTCGTATGTACCAATACAATGAAGACGACTTTCTATTTCAACTTTGCAATCAATATTTCAAACAGCAGAGACACGGAAACATATAAACAAAGAGAAGTTGTCAATTAACAGCTTCTATTTGTTTACAAGTAAACTTGGAATTTGAAAAATGCTTGTGAGGGATCATAGAATTATTATTAAAAAGTTGTCTTCATTATAATGATAAAATCGCTATCCACTTATATACTATGAGTAAATGATAGTTAAACAAGGCATGATATGTGTCTGGCTCAACCTTATCTAGCTATTCATTAAATCCAACTTTCCTTTTAATTACAAAAGCTTAGTTTTATAATTTCGATTATATAACCAAATTTAGGTTCAAATGTACCAAGAGAAGAACAGTACAAGTACAACCAGGTATACAACTATAACATATTTCTAATGTCGTCTTTTAATCACATCATAATAACACGTGATTCTTCATTCATAGAGTTTCATGCCCGATTTACCACGGTACCGTTAAAAGCTACGGATTAAGAATGAATGTGATAATCATGTTTATCTTTTTCAAAACTAAGTATTTTCAATTGAGGTGTTGACACAAGTGACTTGCGCATGTCTGCTTCAGAAAAAATCGCGAAGAAAATGACCAGAATTAATCATTGTTCAAGATACAAAAACGTAATATCTTTCACATTATTGATCAGATTAAGGATTATAGAGTATCGTTGTGAATCGGGCGTGGCCCTCTATTAAATGGTCAGTTACAATTACAACGACAATCCCTTTCAGAGAATAGTTTAGATAAAGGATGTTATAGTTCAGATAAAGGATGTTATAGTTTATATAAAGGATGTGATAGTTTAGATAAAGGATGTTATAGTTTAGATAAAGGATGTTATAGTTTAGATAAAGGATGTGAACAGCACTGCTATACTAGTTATAGTTTAGATAAAGGATGTGAACAGCACTGCTATACTAGTTATAGTTTAGATAAAGTACGTGAACTGCACTGCTATACTAGTCATAGTTTAGATAAAGGATTTTATAGTTTAGATAAAGGATGTGAGCAGCGCTGCTATACTTATTATAGTTTAGATAAAGGACGTAAACAGTACTGCTATACTAGTTTTAGTTTAGATAAAGGATGTGAACAGCACTGCTATACTAGTTATAGTTTAGATAAAGGATTTGAACAGCACTGCTATACTAGTTATAGTTTAGATAAAGGACGTGAACAGCACTGCTATACTAGTTATATTTTAGATAAGGGACGTGAAAAGCACGGCTAAATTAGTTCTAGTTTAGATAAAGGATGTGAACAGCACTGCTATACTAGTAATAAGAAATCCATTTGCAGCGATTCTGGGACACCGACATTTAGATCAGGTAAAAACAATTTTTTTTCTTAACAGCGTTTCCCCCTCAGCCCCCCCCCCCCTCTAAGTGAAGTTAGTTTCTTCCCACCACCACACTCTTTCTAACCAAATTGATTGTTTTAGTCCAACCCTGACATTTACTTTTTTAATTGTTCTTTGTAAACAATTCTAAAAGTCAATTCAAAATTATTTTTCAAATGATGTTATCAATATTTTCGTTTGTTTTTAAGGGAGGCCACACTGGATTGGCTAAGGAGGACCAGTTTCGTGGGACGGGTTGGCAGGAGTTTGTTCAAATAAAATCTGACTCCTGGTTCAACTTTTACTCCGACTGGTTAGATGGAGTGGATCCAAACCAAACTCTAGTCTTACATTATGAAAATATCAAAATTAATCTCAGGTCTAAAATTCTTTTTTTTAACTATTTTTTATTATTTCATTGCCGATTTTGCAAAAAATTTTCTGAATGGGGGGGGGAGGGGCTAATATCGGGGATGCAAAACCACGCCCCGCCCACTTTCTAATTGCACCTTTAATCATCATATTCTCGATGTTGTAGGCATTCATTGCGTCGAATCCTTGATTTTCTAAACCTTGAAGAAGAGGAGGGTCGACTACTGAGGGGAGTGGGCATACGGGCAAAGAATGAAAAATTGCATAAGACAAAAACAGATTGCACTTAACATGGCAAAAAAAATCAACTAAAAAACTGGTATTTTGAAAATGCATTTTAAAATAATCAATTTAGAATAGAACCCAATTTAACACATTTGCATTGCCTTGATTCAAACTTGGGATTGATCAAAGTTATCAATATAATGTAACAAGTTTTTTTGTTCTTCAGGAATGAGAATATAAAGGATCCGTATACGGTTGAACAGAAGAAACTGATAACGAAAAATATCAGAAAACTAAACGATAAGCTTAAAATAAAGGGCAAAGAGACTCTTCCTACTCATCTCTATCAGTATTATTAGTTTGGTCTTTAAAGGAAATAGTGAACGTAAATTTCAATTCTTCATTTGAAGAGATTATAGACCTAAATGTCCGATTTGCAACTTTAATAATGTGGAAGATATCGTCGTTTTACACATTTCTACGCATTTTTTAATCCTTTGTGCGGTGACGATGAATATTTATTATTGATTTTTTATGTTTACTTGTGTATTATGCTGCCAAGTATGATTGGATGCCTATAGTCACTATTTCTGTAATCTGAAAGTTAGCGATAAACATTTTCTACCATTTATTTTGATCGAAATATTTGATTTCATCCGACACTCCTGTAAATTGTACTTTCTGCCTGTAAACCTTTAGCTGATCATATACAATTAGATATTAATGATTTTGTTTCTTGGAACTATTTATTTTCATTTGTGGTTTCTTTGCGAAAGTGACTTGCGCATTTCTTGCAAAAAAAGAAGTAATGGAGAAATTATCAGAATTAAACACTTTTCTATAGTCATAAAACGTATTTGATCATATTAAGGTTTCAAGGGTACCGTTGTAAATCGGGCATTGCCATCTTTGCATGAAGGTTCACTTAAAAATACGCTCACAGTTCCTTTATTATAAATACTGGACCTCAGACCACCGGATGGAAATAACAGTAATTTACCAATTGATGCTCATATTTAATTATGGTTCATTTTTTCCTCTTTATTTTTTATCAAATGCTCCTTCCCTTAATAATCATAAAATACTAATATCTGTGATCTAAAGTTATAATTGTTAAAAAAGCGCCATATTGCAAATATGCATTTTTTATTCATTGTCTCATCGTGGAAAATATAAAAGTTGTCTATATATATATACAAGTTTTATTTTAACATTATTGAAAGTTTTAGTTAGTCCAGGAGAGTATGGAATATATATCAAATAATTTATAGTATAGGGTTAGCCACAATGGTTGAGACTTTAAAGACGACCTGAAAGTCTTTCAAATTGATGATTTCGAGGTTAAACAGAGACAGTATGAATTCTGTGCATTTGTTTCTGTAATCATCCTTTGTGGTTAACCCTGTATAAAAATGCGGAACCTTGACAGTTTAAAAAAATTCCAGCACATTTTTAGGATTTGAAATTACAAATTATTGAGTACTTTCTGACTACAAAGGTTTCTTACCTAAATATTTCTTAAAAACTTCTTAAAAAGATTTTGTAGATATAGATATAGATATAGATATAGATATAGATATAGATATAGATATAGATATAGATATAGATATAGATATAGATATAGATATAGATAGGTTAAACATGTAGTTGGAGTCGGGTGGGGATAAATACCCATTAATGCAGGAGACATTAGGTCTAAATCAGGTTTATGGCCCATTTCTTAGAAATAGGCACAAATTGAAAGATCTGGTGTTTAGAATCGAAATGTTAATAGTAAAGAAAAAGTAGTAAGTTAATACCTCATGATTCTATAATAAAAAAGATTAGTTAGCATATAATATATTTGTAAAGAAACTAAAAATCTGAAGTTTGGTTTGGCATCTTCATCTTACCTTAGGCACTGAGCTGTCTAGTAGTATAGGGTCACCTAACCAATCCAACAGGTCCCCGCTCTCAGAGAATACGAGGTCCACCTTGCCCAAGTACTTTGTGTACGCATAGGCCTGCACCACCAGAACCCTGCCACCTTCATACACAGACTTAGAGTTGGTTGCTTTATGCTGGGTAACCTTATATACTTCATTGCTGCATAGATAAAGATTTAAAGAGTATCTTTGTAAATCAGGCATGCCATTTCTTAAATGGAAGTTCACTTGAAATATTGTTTATATTCCCTTTAAGGACAAGGAAATAATAGAATAATAAATACAATACCTTCATTATTTACTAGAGTTGGATAAGGACCAATAATCAGATCAATATTTGGGTTCCTGACCAACCATTTAAATTAAAAACATGTGAAATAAAATACAAAATGGCAGAATGGGAGGAAAAAAATACTTGTAAAAATGTCTGGTAATATATTTTACATACAGAACCAGAAAACTCTAAATATGAAAACGACTTTTAGACTCGAGTTAGTCCAACACGCATGTTACACAGCAATTGTGCAATGTTCACATATACCATTTCATTCAATAAGTGGTTTGATAAGTGTCTAGCAAACCTATTTGCTTTGTAACAACATCAGATACATTCAAATTTTGAGATAAAGTAGTCTTTCTATTTCTGGGTTTTTTGGTTATCACTGTATTTGTTGGCAAACTTTTTTTTAGATGAAGGATTGTAAAAATGTCTGAATTTTTCTTGCAGATAAAAATTTGAGTGGTTCCTTTTCTTTTCAGTTTCTGAGTAGAGGAATGAATGAGAATGTCCNAGGTACAGATCTAAAGAGGAATAAATTAGAATGTCCACCTACCACCACATCAAGATGAGGTACTGATCTAAAGAGAAATGAATGAATTTGCGATTTCTCTGTGAACGTGGCTAAAACATTTGAGAAATTCACAGAGATCAAACATTTTTCAAGTAAAAAAAATCTTCCACATTTTTGACCAAATTAAGATTTCAAGGATACCGTTGTAAATCGGGCATTGTCCTTTTTAAACGGTGATTGTTTGTATGCCCCTAAAAATAAATTTTTTAAAACAAATTCAGAACGTTGATATTTTAAAACACGTTTTTGATTCTTAACAAAAGATGTGATGTTTTCTTTGGTAATCAAAGATCGTTCCAATTTCTTTAAAAAAGTTAATTTTTCAAAAGAAAAAAAAAGAAAAAATCATTGTTCTTCAAGTTGACGGCACTCAGCCCTCATAAATATACAGTCCAGAAAGCTTACTCTAAAATACTATATTCTAGATAAATACCAACCTAGTAATATCTTGAAATCTCTCTAAAATATTATATTCTAGATAAATACAAACCTATTAATATCTTGAAATCTCTCTAAAATACTATATTCTAGATAAATACCAACCTAGTAATATCTTGAAATCTCTCTAAAATACTATATTCTAGATAAATACCAACCTAGTAATATCTTGAAATCTCTCTAAAATACAATATTCTAGATAAATACCAACCTAGTAATATCTTGAAATCTCTCTAAAATACAATATTCTAGATAAATACAAGACTAGTAATCTCTAGAAATCTCTGGAAAATACTATATTCTAGATAAAAACAAGACTAATAATCTCTAGAAATCTCTCTTAAATATTATATTTTAGATAAATACACTAAAACTCATTTGTTTAAAACTTGAAATTCCTAAATCTCTTAAACAAGTTAGTAAACACCAACCTCGCAATCTCTTAAACAAGTTAGTAAACACCAACCTCGCAATCTCTAAATCCCTCTCATACCCTGAATGTCCCAGGGCAATGATGATATCTATTCCTTCATTATGAAGTTTAGTCACCTCCTAGAAGAAAAGTTTTAGAGATAGTTGCAGAATTTTTTAAAAACATAATTTAATTATTAGCGACGCATTGTTATTATTTGTATATTATTAGAATGCAGGATCACGGGGGCTAAACATATTTAGATCTGTTGCAGATCTTATTTTTCATGGATTCATACTCGAATTTAGGGACATTATTATTTTCTATAAAATTTTGGTATGTTCATTTTTATTCTAAAGGTAAATAGTTTTATTTAAAGAAAGATAAAACGCTATTTGAAACTGTTAGAAAATGGACGAATGAATGCATATTTTTCCCAAAATCTATACCCCCCCTCCCCCCCCCCCCCGACAAATTTTAAGTAAAAACCTAAAGAGGGTTGAACTAGGTACGGTTGGTTAAACTACTGGATAGTGCAGAAGAGGTTGGTATATTTTTAATAAAACATTATTTTAACTTTTTTAACTAACCTCCTTCAATGCTTGAACTTCTTCAATAAAAATAAGTTGCTCTGGGTTTGAAATATCCACAGTATCAGGTGTAATATAGCCAACTAGGCCTATCAGCCTACCATCTTTTAACAACAATTAATCAATTAAAAATTTTTAAAAATTTAATTTTAAAAAATTGACATTCGAAAAAAAATTCGATTTTTGAAAAAAAAATTAAATTTTTTAGCCGATGTTACTTTGGGTTGCTCTAAAAATGTCAGCCAATTTGGTCTAGTTTTTAGGCCAGCTATAGCTAACATATACAAATATACAAATATGTTAATATATATATATATATATATGTGAGCGAAGAGCATGTATAAAAAATTTGTACATGAAATAAGAAGTTGTTCGTACCTACTTCCTTGATCAGAGATTTTACATACAGTCCGCCCATTTCAGGAACTGGAAATAGTTAAAGAGACGTTAAAGGTAGGGAGGATAAGGGTTTTGAAGATCAGGACCTGGGGGTAAGTTAAGTACACTGATACTGATGGGCATTGTTTTGAGTTCCATTTTTAGACAGGCCGAGTTATTGACGTTAAAAGTGTTTCACAAAATATCAGTTATTAATTAAATTGTACTTTAGAAAAGTTTGCTTTAATTATGTATTTTGCGAATTTTTTTCTCTAATCAAAGATATTATTATTTTCCAAAACGATTCAAAATGAAAAACGCTGTTCTAATTGTTTTGAAAAATCGGATTGGTCGGAATATTTTTGGTTAGAATAAAGGTTTTGCAAATCTAATTTCCATCTAGATTCTTGTCGAGCCTCTTAGATGGTTAAAAACTTTTTAGAAACTAGAAACGAGACTAAAAACGAGACTAAAAACGAGACTAAAAACGGGACTAAAAACGAAAATAAAAGCGAGACTAAATATGGGACTAAAAAGAGACTAAAAACGGAAAAACGGGACTTAAAACGGGACTAAAAACGGGACTAAAAACGAGACTAAAAACGGGACTGAAAACGGGACTGAAAACGGGACTGAAAACGGGACTAAAAACTGGACTAAAACGGGACTAAAAAGAGGACTAAAAACGGGACTAAAAACGGGACTAAAAACGGGACTAAAATGGGACTAAAAACGGGACTAAAAACGGGACTAAAAACGGGACTAAAAACGGGACTAAAAACGTGACTAAAAACTGGACTAAAATGGGACTAAAAACGGGACTAAAAACAGGACTAAAAACGGGACTGAAAACGGGACTAAAAACGGGACTAAAAACGATGCCCGTCAGAAAGTAAACATCAAGTTACCTTCCTATACTCTGTCCTGGAAAGTTCCGAACTTTGTTTACAATCTTTGTTATTGTTTTGATAAACTGGTTCCTTTGTTTACAGTCTTTGTTATTGTTTTGATAAACTGGTTCCTTTGTTTACAATCTTTGTTATTGTTTTGAAAAACTGGTTCCTAGTAGACTAAATTCGTCACAGTGAAATATGTACACCCCTTTCACCCTTTTCTTTAGATTATAAACATATCTAAACTAGCTGAATTGCCCAGCGTTGCCCGTGGAATTTTAAAAACATTTTTTTAAATTTGCCTTTTGGAAAAAATAAATTTGGATTTGAAAAGAAAATTTCGATTTTTGAAACCCATGGGTCTCCTCAAAAGATTTCAGCCAATTCGGTCCAGACGTTTGGCCAGCTACAGCTAATATATATAAAAAGTTACAAATATACAAATATACAAGTACGTATATATATATGAGAAAAGAGCTTTTTTATATATGGAAGATCTGAACAGTCTTTGGACATTTTTTATGTTTGTTAAAAAAAAGTTCTTTAACCTTTCGTGTGGTTGATATTGGTGACAACTATTGGGACAGTTTGCTCCTAAATTAGATATTAACCATTTTAAAATATTTTTTTCTTTCTGCACTTTTTTATTTTTTAGTCTTTTATATGTTCTTCCCTTAAAGGATGTGTTGAAAAAAATGAAGAAGGGTTTGTAGTAATTAGTTATTAGTGAAGGATGAATCATAATTTGATTATCAAAATTGGACTATAGAGTCCAGAGAGCAAAGGTGTTAAATATTAAAAAAGATTATAGCTCATGAGCTAGATTACAAACAAATAATGAACCAAGAAAGGATATGGTGGCGAGATAAGACCTTGTTTATTAAGTAATTAAGCTATTATCAAATTTAAAATTTGGTGTTCATGTTGGTCCAAGCCAAGTACAAAAAAACGGTGTATTTCTACATATACATATATATATAAAAAAATATTAATAATGATCTGGGTTGACCCCCAACAGCTCTTGAGATTTTACTTGTTCACACCAGAAAAAGGAAATATGTGTATGATCGTTTTGTCCATTAGATACATTTTTTAACGATACGCTTTTGATACTCGTGCATTGTATATTTTCCCATTCCACAAACTTGATATACCTCCGCGTTTTCTAAAATTGAACAATCCCTTTAAAAAGCGTTGTATGTCTGTGTTATCTATGGTTTCTTCAAAGGTTCGGAGACCTAATTCCATTTACAGAGTAACATGTCCGATTCACAACAGTACCCTTACAAGCTTTGATCAAGAATAAATGAGATATCCATGATTTCTCTTTAAAAAATTGGCTGTTTTAAAAAACGTATGGATATTTGAATACAGGAACAATGGAGGGATTTGTAAGAATTGAACACTTTCCAAGACAGAAAAACAACGCTATCTTACACATTTTTATCAGATTAAGGTTTAAAGGGTACCGTTGTGAATCTTCCAAACCCTCTTGAGGGTCACTTAAAATTAAAACAACAGTCTCTGTAATCCTACCTTGAGGAACGGTGTCAGCCCAGCGATACTATCATCGAACTCATGATTGCCCAGGGTCATTGCGTCGAAGTTCAGCAGGTTGTTAAACTTGGAGACAACCTACAGTACAGGTTGTTTGGAGACAACCTACAGTACAGGTTGTTAAACTTGGAGACAACCTACAGTACAGATTGTTAAACTTGGAGACAACCTACAGTACAGGTTGTTAAACTTGGAGACAACCTACAGTACAGATTGTTAAACTTGGAGACAACCTATAGTACAGGTTCCTAAACTTGGAGACAACCTAACGTACATGTTGTTAAACTTGGAGAATTACAGTACAGATTGTTAAACTTGGAGACAACCTACAGTACAGATTGTTAAACTTGGAGAATTACAGTACAGATTGTTAAACTTGGAGACAACCTACAGTACAGATTGTTAAACTTGGAGACAACCTATATAAAGTACAGGTTGTTAAACTTGGAGAACAACCTACAGTACAGATTGTTAAACTTGGAGACAACCTACAGTACAGATTGTTAAACTTGGAGACAACCTATATAAAGTACAGGTTGTTAAACTTGGAGACAACCTATTGTTAAACTTGGAGACAACCTATATAAAGTACAGGTTGTTAAACTTGGAGACAACCTACAGTACAGGTAGTTAAACTTGGAGACAACTTACAGTACAGATTGTTAAACTTGGAGACAACCTACAGTACAGAGTTGGTAAACTTGGAGACAACCTACAGTATAGGTTGTTAAACTTGGAGACAACCTACAGTACAGGTTGTTAAACTTAGTGACAACCTACAGTACAGGTTGTTAAACTTGGAGAATTACAGTACAGATTGTTAAACTTGGAGACAACCTACAGTACAGATTGTTAAACTTGGAGACAACCTACAGTACAGATTGTTAAACTTGGAGACAACCTATATAAAGTACAGGTTGTTAAACTTGGAGACAACCTACAGTACAGATTGTTAAACTTGGAGACAACCTACAGTACAGAGTTGGTAAACTTGGAGACAACCTACAGTAGAGGTTGTTAAACTTGGAGACAACCTACAGTACAGGTTGTTAAACTTAGTGACAACCTACAGTAGAGGTTGTCAAACTTGGAGACAACCTACAGTACAGGTTGTTATAGTTGGAGACAACTTACAGTAGAGGTTGGTAAACTTGGAGACAACCTACAGTACAGGTTGTTGAACTTGGAGACAACCTAAAGTACAGGTTGGTAAACTTAGAGACAACCTACAGTACAGGTTGGTAAACTTGGAGACAACCTACAGTACAGGTTGTTGAACTTGGAGACAACTTAAAGTACAGGTTGGTAAACTTGGAGACAACCTACAGTACAGGTTGGTAAACTTGGAGACAACCTACATTACAGGTTGTTAAACTTGGAGACAACCTAAAGTACAGGTTGGTAAACTTGGAGACAACCTACAGTACAGGTTGGTAAACTTGGAGACATCCTAAAGTACAGGTTGGTAAACTTGGAGACAACCAACAGTACAGGTTGGTAAACTTGGAGACATCCTAAAGTACAGGTTGGTAAACTTGGAGACAACCTACAGTACAGGTTGCTAAACTTTGAGTAACCTGCAGTAAAAAATTTTTAAAAATGCTAACCTTCCATTTGTATTGTGAATACCAAGCAGTTCCCTAATCATTAAACACTTTATTCTTTAATAATCTTATTTTTATTTCATTTTTACTCATTTCATTTTCTACCTCCCTCGCAAGCAAGCTTGGACTAATAACATTTTACAATTATAAAAAATACAAAAATTCTTTAAAAAAGAAAGTGTTAGGTTCCTGAAAGAAATCTCCAGCATTGACCCAGAGAGTTGAATTCTTATTTCTTCTTTGCTCTTTTACCAAGCTTTGTAGGCGGGATATACCTCCATAACAAGCTCCCTTCCGCTGGTCAGCATCCTGTTCATGTTCATGTTCATGTTCATGTTCATGTTCATGTTCATGTTCATGTTCATGTTCATGTTCATGTTCATGTTCATGTTCATGTTCATGTTCATGTTCATGTTCATGTTCATGTTCATGTTCATGTTCATGTTCATGTTCATGTTTATGTTCATGTTCATGTTCATGTTCATGTTCATGTTCATGTTCATGTTCATGTTCATGTTCATGTTCATGTTGGTCCCAAGAACGTAAAGATAACTCCTCGCCTGATGTGTGTACAACAAACTTATTATTAAAGGGAGTGTTCGCGAAAAAGAAAACAGGGTATAGGCTAACGCCGAATCGAATTCGATGGTGATCGCTCCTAATCTTCTTCTATCTGTTGCGCCTATAAGGAGAAAAGGGTTAAATACGACTCATACCAAAGAACTTACAACTCAGACAAATTCATAAAGTTTCGTTATTTAACTTAGATCGAGAGCGTAAATAATTCAATTGAACAGGAGTTCCACATGGGAGAGACACCAGGCGGCCATTGTATATTAAAAGAATACCAAACATTATGAAATGTCAACTGTATATGAATGCATCGAATTATATTCGACAATTACAAGTTAAAGTATCTGAATGATTAGTTTTTAATTTGAGTTATTTACAATCTGAGTGGAATATTGCAATTTAGTGAATTTGGATAAACTCTTTTCTGTTGAGATTTTTAAAAATTCTTTGGAATTATTTTAGTGAAGAGTTTTAAGAAAATTACAATTGTTAAGAAATAAGAATTGTGTAAATTAATGCTACTCCTTTAATTTTGTAGGCCGTATAAACTGGAAGCCCTGTGACGGGTCAGTACAATATCCGAAAAAAGTCCTTGATGAAAAGGACTCTCGGTTCAAATAAGATACCTAGCCGGTCTCTTCCTTTAAAAACTTGCTAGATTTATGTGTAGGAATACAGTAAATTAAAACGACATTTTGTACTGAAGTACAATTTTGTACTGAAGTACAATTTTGTATTGCAATATTGGGTGTAATCTAATTACATACATATACAGTAACATGTAAAGCTTATAAAAATTGTAAAAACATAGATATAGATCCGGCTAAAAGACGACATATGAGATATAAAAGATAAAATTATTAAAAATGAGGAAAATCAAACAAAAGTGACTTTTGGAATTCATGATGGGGTCGAGTTTACTTTGATTTTATTTTCAAAAATATTATTTTTTTGGACTTAAAAAAATATTTTTAATATTTGGATTCAAGACGGAATTGAGATTTAAACAATTTAAGGCAGGTTCAAAAAGATTTATCTCGAAAGATAAAAATGTACATTTTTATAAAGACAATTCTTGGTTTGTTGTTGAACCGAATCAAAATTTTCGTTTGATTGATTGTATTTTGCAAATTTCTTCGTTATTCTTCGTTATTCTTGTTTATATTTGAGATTATTTGGATATTCGTTGGAGCAGAGATCAATTTATTTAGACATAATACAGTAATACGTTTTCCACATTTTATACTTTGGATAAATTGTTTTATTTTCTAATTTATCTTGTGCTTTATAATTCATTTATACTCAAAATTCGAAATAGTATTTATTATACAATATACAATATACAATAAACAATATACAATATACAATATACAATATACAATATACAATATACATTATACAATATACATTATACAATATACATTATACAATATACAATATACAATATACATTATACAATATGCATTATACAATATACATTAGACAATATACAATATACAATATTATTACATATTTCTATAAAATTGAGCTTAAAGGAACTTACGGTTAAATTACCTCAAACTGTTTAACAATTATATATATCCTATAACCTAATATACTTCATTTTCAAATCTCAACTAGGAATTCTTATATCAAATTGTCAAAAGTCAAAACATTATTAAGTTGCAAAGATATAGTGAGTATAAAATTAGAGCTTGAGGGGAGTAATCAGCATGAAAATTGAATTTTATTGTTAAATATTTATATATAACCATGGATATATCTAGATATAGTTAAGCACATACAGACAATAATTTTGGATAATTATATGATAAAAAATATACCATTTTGTGTGAGAGAGGAGCCCCCTTGAAAAGTTCTCCCCCCCCCCATGCTCACTGCTCAGTGAAAAGAAATTCGGCTTCCCTGTTGTTAAACATGTTATTGGCCTCCCTGTTGTTAAACATGTTATTGGCCTCCCTGTTGTTAAACATGTTATTGGGTTCCGTTTTTTGTGTTTTTGTAAAAAAGATTTTATTGTATTTCAGGAAGGCCTGCGAAGCCAAACCAAATATTTGTTAGAAAAAAACACAATTAGAACAATAAGAAATTTACATCACAAATAAATCATACAGAATTTGTTTTTATAGTTTTCTTAATAAACATCTACCCACACCTATACAGTGTTTTCACGTTTTTGTCGATTTTAGAGGGTTTCAAATGTAAAATAAGTTTTCAAATTTTTGATAATACAAAATTCTGGCTGAGAACTGCAAAATCGAAAATAAATATTTAGAAATGTGGATTAATAGTTTAAATTTCAAATCATAGACTTTACAATGATAACAGGAATTAATCGCACGCCTCAAATTCCGATTTTATAACCACAGTTTAAAATATCAGGTTTCTAACATCTATATAGGTATAACAAAATAGAGTTTTAAGAATAGTTTTCATTTCTTTAGTGAACTCATAATTAATGAAAACTAAAGAAAACTGTGTATATGGAAAACAATGAAAACAGTTCAAAATATCATGCATAATACAATAGTTCAGAATAAAAACAGTCACATTTTCTATCTAAACCAAATACTTTTCATGTCAAGAAAAAAAAATTGCATGGCTTCAATGAAATAAAGCAAAAAATCAAAATAAAGCAAATGCTTTGCAATCACAGTAATTTTCACAGACAAAAGTATGAAGGCAACCGTCTTCAGACATAATCTAAATCTTGACTGTTCAGTTTGTTTCATTATTTGTTAAATTATTATGGATCAATAATTTCAGGATCTTTATGGATCAATAGTTCCAGGATTTTTATGGATCAATAGTTCTTGGATCTTTATGGATCAATAGTTCCAGGATCTTTATGGATCAATAGTTCCAGGATCTTTATGGATCAATAGTTCCAGGATCTTTATCGATCAATAGTTCCAGGATCTTTATGGATCAATAGTTCCAGGATCTTTCTGGACCAGTATCTGTATATGGGAAGATTTTTCAATATCTTAACAGATGCATTATACATTATCAATATCTACAAAAACAAATATGAGACAATTCCTTAGAAAAAGAAACAATATTATTAGTAAAAGAACACTCGATTAGACTTAACTGATTTTGTTTTTAAATCTATTAGACTGTTTTAACCGTTCTTTGTCAAGTTGCTTTTTTTCTTTGTAAATTGTATTTCGCGGATTTTCGCAGAATTGATTCTTTGCCCCAAACCTCTGATTTTCTAACTTCTATATCTTTACAACCCAATGTCGTAGACCTTTGATATTTTAAACTATTAATTCTGCATAGAGCTTATAATTCTAAGTTTGTAATATTTAAGATTTAGACCATCAGGCTCTATAGATATAGGGATTGGAAAATTTGAGTTTGTTGCAAAAACTCAATTCCTTTGTGCATTTTCAAAAATAATATATGTCGCCATTTTTTTCGGCCAAAATTTTTTATCTGTAACCATCTGGGGTTATTTGAGCTGCTACCGATCGGTTTGGGCATTTTGACGGTTTGACATAAAAACGACCAAAATACTTGTATAAAATTCCAGGAGGGGGGGGGGGAGGCTGCCCCTTTGAACATATTGTAAGCGAGCTTTGGTTGGCAGGTAACCCTTTTTTGTTTGGTTAGATTTATTATTGCTGGGTCCGCTGTAGGCAAAACATGTTTAAGGAATTCAAGGAAATAAATCGAAAACATAGCTTAAGAGTTTTTTAAATACCAAAATAAGGCACAAAAGCCAAAAATTTCAACCTTTTCAATAATTTTAAGAAAATGGCAGTAAAAAATATTTTTAAATCCGTTATTCTTAATTTTAACTGAATATAGAAATGAATAGATGTTCTAATATTCTTTATATTTGAAAAGCGTCCTATACATCTTATAGCTTTCCTAGCTATATAGCATTCCTAGCTATTGGTAACTGTCATGGTGAATATTGTGAATACTGCAAAAAGTGCATCAAATAAAGTTTGCTAATGTTTACTTTCTTTTTATTTGATCTTAACAATTTCAAAATCCAGGCTTTGGTTCAAAATAAAACTCTAGGGTGCATATTTTCAAATATAAAAATCAAGAGTATATATTGCCCAAGATAAAACTCCATGGTGTATACTGTATATTGTCCAAGATAAAACTCCTGGGTGTATATTGTCCAAGATATAACTCCATGGTGTATATTGTCCAAGATAAAACTCTAGGGTGTATATTGTCCAAGATTAAACTCCAAGGGGTATATTGTTCAAGATGTAACTCCATGGTGTATATTGTCCAAGATATAACTTCATGGTGTATATTGTCCAAGATAAAACTCCAAGGGGTATATATTGTCCAAGATAAAACTCCAAGGGGTATATATTGTCCAAGATAAACTCCAGATTGGAAATTTTACAAGATGAAACTATGGGGTGGATATTGTTCAAAATAAAGCAAAATAAAGTTGTTTCATGAATATGAGCCAAAAACTTTAAAAAATAATTAGTTTGTAAAAAGTTAGAAGAAAGTTTTATCGGTAAATATGCAAAATTAATTAATATTAATTACTTAATTATCCTAAAAGTTATAGAATTTTCCCTTGAGAATGTTGCTTTCTAACTTATATTTATTTACTCTACTTATTGTAAAGTTTAATTCAAACTCGTCCCATTTAACAGATTCAAACTTGTCCCATTAAACAGATTCAAACTTGTCCCATTAAACAGATTCAAACTTGTCCCATTATACAGATTCAAACTTGTCCCATTAAACAGATTCAAACTTGTCCCATTAAACAGATTCAAACTCGTCCCATTTAACAGTTTCAAACTTGTCCCATTAAGAAGATTCAAACTTGTCCCATGAAACAGATTCAAACTTGTCCCATTAAACAGATTCAAACTTGTCCCATTAAACAGATTCAAACTTGTCCCATTAAACAGATTCAAACTTGTCTCATTAAACAGATTCAAACTTGTCCCATTAAACAGATTCAAACTTGTCCCATTAAACAGATTCAAACTTGTCTCATTAAACAGATTCAAACTTGTCCCATTAAACAGATTCAAACTTGTCCCATTAAACAGATTCAAACTTGTCTCATTAAACAGATTCAAACTTGTCCCATTAAACAGATTCAAACTTGTCCCATTAAACAGATTCAAACTTGTCTCATTAAACAGATTCAAACTTGTCCCATTAAACAGATTCAAACTTGTCTCATTAAACATATTCAAACTTGTCCCATTAAACAGATTCAAACTCGTCCCATTTAACAGATTCAAACTTGTTTCATTAAACGGATTCAAACTTGTCCCATTAAACAGATTCAAACTTGTCTCATTAAACATTTACAAACTTGTCCCATTAAACAGATTCAAACTTGTCCCATTAAAAAGATTCAAACTTGTCTCATTAAACATTAAACAGATGAAACTAATGATTAGAAGAGATTGTAATTTACTCCCAGTGAGCCTGTTTAAAGGGACTGTAAACATAAAGCGACCCCTCAATTAAAGAGCGACAAACTCAATTCAGAACAGCACATTTCCCACTTTAAAGATATGATCGTTTTTATTTCTTCAAACTTGTTGAATTTTACCATTTTATTCTTTCTCTTTGCCACATAAATCCGCAAGCATCTTTAACAAAGATCCCACAAACGAAAATCACCAAATTTCATATAGAAAACAAGAATATCTTCATTATTTTTGCTAAGACAATATTTTAAAGGGTAAAACTTTAAATCCCTACATCTATGCAACCTGATGGTGTACATCTTTGATATTTTAAACTCAGATTATTTGATTTAAGAGAATTCAAAGTTTGAAATATCTAATTACCAAGATATAGTAATTAAAAAATTCCAGGTTGTGGCAAATATCAATTCCTTTTTGCGTTGAAAATCTATTTTTTTCAGAGAAAAATATTCTGAAGATGTATAATTTAGCCCCGAAACACGCCGAAGAGTTATCAAATAGCTTTATATTATTAGGCAGGCGCTGAATTATTCATAAATTTCGTAATTAATTCATTAAAGCATAATAATTTCCTCGGCAATTAATCATAAATGGGCTGAGCAAGAAACATAATAAAAATAGGTTTCTGTATTCTTCAACCTTCCCTCTCCTTTTCTCTTTATCCCCTCTTCCCCCCTTCCCCTCCTAACTTCCATCTCTTCTCCTTCTCCATCCGCATTCCCTCCCTCCTCCTCCCTATCCCTTCCTTACTTTTCCTATTTTCCCCTCTCCATCCACCTTCCCCCCCTCCCCATACCTCCCCTCCCTCCCCTCCCTCTCCTCCCTTCTTACTTCTTTCTCTTCTCCTTAATTTATATTTTATCAATGAATGAATGCACTCTATTGTTATCATAAACTCTTTTATTTTGACTTTTCTCAATTTTTCTTTTTATCAGACAAAGATCAATATATATCTTATTATTATAGTTGTTAGAACATCAGTTCTAAACAAATAAAGATTTTCTAAACCTTAAATAAGATTGTCTGGGGCCGTTAATAGGACTGTTTACATAAATTCATGGGATCAGTCTTGTAGAAATGATTAATCAACTCTGTATTGCGGAAGAGGATGCAGTTATTCGGACTCCCCATAGGAAATAGGAAATACTAGGACGGATACATTAATAATGTAAACTAACAATGAGGACGCACATGGATGGAAACCTATGGTAAAATTAAAGGACAAGACGTGGCGACACTTTAGTTTAAAATCGACCCAATTTTGAAAATTGATACAACTTTTCATCTATGTAGGGGGATTCTTTTCATTTAAAACAATAAAATTAAATCTAGTTAAAAATGTCATGTTTCGTGTGAAAACCTGTGTTGTCTATATATCTTTATCTGCGTCACTTAGGCATTTGTTAATAATTTGTTTATTAGGAAGGCACTTGATACACTAACAACCATTATCATTGTAATATTGCTTATATCGAGTTTCAAACTGTAACAACGTAATAAACAGTTCAGATCATACATTTTTAATCATTTTGCTATTTTGGCTTTTTAGCTGTTGAAAAAAAACGTGTTTTCGACATAATTATGTGGGGTGTTTTTTTTGTGCGAGTGCAATCAGGCTTAATAATTTAATCAAAAATCATCTTTCAAAAGTATCAAAAGAAATACGCAGCACAGCTTAATATAATTTAATCCTAACAAAAAATATTTTTAATTAGATAATTAACCAATATAGAAGGTATCCAAGAACCTTTCTCTACTCCTGAACCTCTCTCTACTCCGAAACCTCTCTCTACTTCTAAACCTCTCTCTATCCCTGAACTTCTCAACTTCTCTCTACTCCTAAACCTCTCTCTACACCTAAACCTCTCTCTACTCCTGAAACACTCTCTACTCATGAACCTCTCTCTACTCCTGAACCTCTCTCTATTTCTGAACCTCTCTCTACTCCTAAACCTCTTTCCACTCGTAAACCTTTCTTTACTCCTGAACCTCTATCTACTCCTGAACCTCTCTCTATTTCTGAACTTCTCTCTACACCTAAACCTCTCTCTTTCCCTGAACCTCTCTTTTCTCGTAAACCTCTCTCTACTCCTGAACCTCTCTCTACTCCTGAACCTCCCTCTACTCCTGAACCTCTCTCTACTTCTAAACCTCTCTCTACTTACTTCAAAACCTTTCTCTACTCCTGAACCTCTCTCTCTCTACTCCTGAACCTCACTCCTGAACCTCTCTCTCTCTACTCCTGAACCTCTCTCTACTACTGAACCTCTCTCTACTCCTGAACCTCTCTCTGTTTCTGAACCTCTCTCTACACCCAAACCTCTCTCTTTTCCTGAACCTCTCTTTTCTCTTAAACCTCTCTCTACTCCTGAACCTCTCTCTACCCCTGAACCTCCCTCTACTCCTGAACCTCTCTCTACTTACTTCAAAACCTTTCTCAACTCCTGAACCTCTCTCTACTCCTCAACCTTTCTCTACTCCTGAACCTCTCTCTACTCCTGAACCTCTCTCTTCTCCTGAACCTCTCTCTACTCCTGAACATCTCTCTACTCCCGAACCTCTCTTTACTCCTGAACCTCTTTCTACCCCTGAACCTCTCTCTACTCTTGAATCTTTTTCTACTCTTGAACCTCTCTCTACTCCTGAACCTCTCTCTACTCCTAAACCTCTCGACTCCCGAACCTCTCTCTACTCCTCAATCTCTCTCTACTCCGGAACCTCTCTCTACTCCTGAATCTCTCTCTACTCCTGAAACTCTCTCTACTCCTGAACATCCCTCTTCTCCTTCTCAAGATTATTTATTCAAGGTTATTAAACCTAATTATTTTATATTCCGTGCTTGATAATCTGATCCTAGGATTATTAGCAGAACATATTTAGTTTTGTAATCTATATTTACATATTAGATATTATAAAAATAATGCACAAGGACACAAGTTTACCTACCTTGAGAGTAAAATTGGACTCTAAGAATCAATCTCTGCCAGGCTTTTCAGAATCCGTCGGAGAATTAAAAACCTATCGGAGAGGGTACTCGGAGTTCTCTAACCGTGGCTAACTACGGAGAGAGTGAATCCGAACTGAAGTATTTAAGCCGAGACTAAGCCTCCACTCTCCTATAGATGCATCCTCATCTTCTCTCTCTTCTCCATACCTCTCATCCTCACCTTCTTCTCCCTCTTCTCCATACCCCTTATCCACATCTTCTCTCTCCTCTCCATACCTCTTATCCTCACCTTCTTCTTCCTCTTCTCCATACCTCTTATCCTCACCTTCTTCTCCATCTTCTCCATACCTCTTATCCACGTCTTCTCTCTCCTCTCCATACCTCTTATCCCCACCTTCTTCTTCCTCTTCTCCATACCTCTTATCCTTACCTTCTTCTCCCTCTTCTCAATACCTCTTATCCACGTCTTTTCTCTCTTCTCCATACATCTTATCCTCATCTTCTTCTCCCTCTTCTTCATACCTCTCATCCACATCTTCTCTCTCTTCTCCATACCTCTTATCCACGTCTTCTCTCTCTTCTCAATACCTCTTATCCTCACTTTATCTCTCCTCATCCTACCTCTCATTCTCATCTTCTTCTCTTCTCCATACCTCTCATTCTCATCTTTTTCTTTTTTCCGTACCTCTCATTTTCATCTTCTTCTCTTCTCCATACCTCTTATTCTCATCTTCTTCTCTTCTCCATACCTCTCATTCTCAACTTCTTCTCTTCTCCATACCTCTCATTCTCATTTTCTTCTCTTCTCCATACCTCTATCTCTCATCTTCTTCTCTTCTCCATACCTCTATCTCTCATCTTCTTCTCTTCTCCATACCTCTCATTCTCATCTTCTTCTCTTCTCCATTCCTCTCATTCTCATCTTCTTCTCTTCTCCATACCTCTCATTCTCATCTTCTTCTCTTCTCCATACCTCTATCTCTCATCTTCTTCTCTTCTCCATATCTCTCATTCTCATCTACTTCTCTTCTCCATACCTCTTATTCTCATCCTTCTCTTCTCCATACCTCTATCTCTCATCTTCTTCTCTTCTACATATCTCTCATTCTCATCTTCTTCTCTTCTCCATACCTCTCATTCTCATCTTTTTTTCTTCTCCATACCTCTCATTCCCATCTTCTTCTCTTCTCCATACCTCTCATTCTCATTTTTTTCTCTTCTCCATACCTCTATCTCTCATCTTCTTCTCCGTTTAATATGTTTTCCCCTTTTTCTGCCTAAAATGTATATTTGATTTGCTTAGTCTATAATAACACGGTTGGTTCCAGTTATATAAGAAACGACTGCAATCTCCATTTTGGTGTGTGGAATGTGTATGGGTGGTCAACCCTCACCTAATCAAATCTATCCTGTCGGGTCCATGGTCTATCCGTCCCTACTCCTCAGGCAAATTCAAAACATGGATATTTTGTTAACCCCAGTTCTATATTTGAACCTTGAGTAGGATAAATGGTAACGACAGTAATGTTTTCTGTCTGTATTGGTTCTTAGACAATAAAAATAATATTTATTTATGTCATTATTAATGGGAACTATTAAGTGCAAAGCGTTTTTAACTAGAAAAATTAAATATCTCAGCAAAAACTTTTTCGCACGCATGATACCAATTACACTAAAAAATATTTTAAAATTCGGTGATGGTGATGGACCAAACCTCTGTAGAGTAAAAGAAAGGAGATGTTATAGTTCCACATTACATTTATTAAAAATATATTTCGGTCTCGTTTCGTCAGTTCTAACGATAATAATAACCATCAAATTCGATAAAAAAGAATAAAAAAATTGTTAAAAACCACAAGAAAATAAACTAACAAAAAAAATTAACACATACAATTTTATTCAATTTTACTCAACTCATTTAAGAGCAGGTCGATAAAGTAACTTTATCACCCTGTTGTAGTGTAATAAAGTCACTTAATCACGCTGCAATGGTAAATATTAGGTACAAGGTACTGTTGAAGGGCAATAATGTCACTTAATCACCCTACAACGGTATATATTAGGTACAAGGTACTGTTGAAGGGCAATAATGTCACTTAATCACCCTACAACAGTAAATATTAGGTACTAGGTACTGTTGAAGGGCAATAAAGTCACTTAATCACCCTACAACGGTAAATATTAGGTACTTTACTGCTGTAGGGTAATAAAGTCACTTAATCACCCTACAACAGTAAATATTAGGTACTAGGTACTGTTGAAGGGCAATAATGTCACTTAATCACCCTACAACGGTAAATATTAAGTACTAGGTACTGCGGAAGGGCAATAAAGTCACTTAATCACCCTAAAACGGTAAATATTAGGTACTAGGTACTGTTGAAGGGCAATAATGTCACTTAATTACCCTAACGGTAAATATTAGGTACTAGGTACTGCTGTAGGGTGATAAAGTCACTTAATCACCCTACAACGGTAAATATTAGGTACTAGGTACTGTTGTAGGGCAATAAAGTCACTTATTCACGCTACAATAGGAAATATTAGGTACTTTACTGGTGTAGGGTGATAAAGTCACTTAATCATCCTACAACGGTAAATATTAGGTACTAGGTACTGTTGAAGGGCAATAAAGTCACTTAATCACCCTACAAAGGTAAATATTAGGTACTAGGCACTGTTGAAGGGCAATAAAGTCACTTAATCACCCTACAATGGTAAATATTAGGTACAAGGTACTGTTGAAGGGCAATAAAGTCACTTAATCACCCTACAACGGTAAATATTAGGTAGTAGGTACTGTTGAAGGGCAATAAAGTCACTTAATCACCCTACAACGGTAAATATTAGGTACTAGGTACTGTTGAAGGGCAATAAAGTCACTTAATCACCCTACAATAGTAAATATTAGGTACTAGGTACTGTTGTAGGGTGATAAAGTCACTTAATCAACCAACAACAGTAAATAGTAAATATTAGGTACTAGGTACTGTTGTAGGGTAATAAAGTCACTAAATCACCCTACAACGGTGAATATTAGGTGTGAGCAAAACATTCCATCAAAATTGAATAAAATTCTTTCTTCATGTCAATTTATATTTTCTGATCTCATTTTTAATTTTTAATGAACTTAACTCAATTATATCTTTTACTTAGAGGAAATTTATTCGACGTAATTTGAATTGTTTCACAATTTAAAAAAGAGTTGCATGTCAGATACACAAGGGCACCCTTTAAACATTTGTTGGAGCAAACTCAAATTAATCATTTTCAATTTATCGTTTCTCTGTGTAATTGGGACTTGCATACTAACTCTATTTCGAATTTCCTTCAAAATAAACTTTCATTTAATTGTTTTCGTCGAAGTATGAAATAGATCCACGTTACATTCTAAGCTCAGTCTTCTAAAATATATATTTTGAATCATAAATGCAGAGAAAATAGAAATTTACATATTTTTGATTATTTTTATTATCATTGATATCGTATTTTTTTAGCTCAGATAATTCAGCAATGCAATTTTTACTTTAATGTCTTATACGACTGTATACACATTGATTTTCCTTGTTGACAGATGGGTTTATATTGATTATTTACGCTGTGACATCTTTTTAACAAAAACCTGAATTTACAAATGTTACCAAACGAAGAATTTGTTGTGCTATTCCTGATAAAAAAATAAAAGTTCAAAACCTGAAAAAAATATGCTGTTTATATTTTAGATAAAAATGAATTTTAAACCAAAAGCAACAAAATAAATATAGTTTTGTAAACCATCAATCTCTATATCTTACTCCGTTGTAAAGTCGTCTTTGACCAAGATTCTCCGGTGGCCAAATTACACATTTTCTTAGCTCCGGCAGAATTCTATAAACAAACCACCTCGTTAAATTTCAAATTGAAAACTTAAAAATTCGTGATTTGCAGTGAACCCATTTTGTAACCAACTGTCATTTTATTTTCAGAAGTTGAAATGTTTTATTCCTGATAACTAGAAACCCCATTTAATGTACTTGCGCCCAATAGTAAAATATTTTAAAACCCATTATTATTCAAAACCATGTATGTCAAAGATTTATAAAAATATTTCATTGTTTTAATGTAATTTTTTTAGGTTGGAAATAAATCAATACTGGATTATTGTCGACTACGTCAGTAGAGAGAGTGGGGAAATCAAATTTGATGAATCTATAGATGCCCGGGACGTTAACCTAGGCTCCGACCTCCCCGGGGAAATCGCCCATTTTATCCTCCATAGAGGCCTTTAGCTCAACAGGTTTTGTTTATTTTAAGTTATGAACGTATAAACCTTGTTCTAAAGTTTCTCTTGCTAAACTTGGTAATTAACTTGCTCTCTGATAGATCTATACTGCTATGACAAGCTGCATCAACTTTTTAAGACTGAGTCGACTTTCAAGTGTCACAATGCCTTGCCCCGTGTTACCTCACTAACTTAATCATACTTTATGTAAGCCTGGACATAAACAATTTAAACTAAAAAACACATTTGTTTTCAGCTTTACTCGGGCAGCTGTAGTACATTTGAATTTCCGAGCCGGGTCAACTTTTCTGGTCCCAGTTTGTACTGTATCGACCGGTCAGTTGGTAAATAAAGCAGACACTCAATAGGACTAGCCGGTGCACTAAGGTTGACGCGGTCAGACTTTTGGTTGAATTTACTTTTACTAAAGGGTCAGAGGTGTGTGTTTAGTATTCAATAAGTGATTGGTAAAATTCTCATCGATTTTTGTTTGAGAGTCACAACCCTTGGACCACTGCATAGTGTGGGCAATAATTAACTAAACTAGTTGTATTTGGTTAAACTATTTCTCCCTGCTTATTGACGTCAAGAATTCCTTTAAAGGAATTCAGTCTTCGCCACAAATTCAAATCTTCCAACATCGATGTCGTAGATCTTAGACATTTCAAACAATGAATTCTAGATTTTCACCATCAGGTTGCAAAGGTTACGAAGATATAGGGATTACAAAATTCATGTTTATTTTAAAGACTAAATTCCTTTGTAAATTACGAATCTAAAATTTGTATGCAGTGCAGAAATGTTTAAACTATATACAGGGTGTCTCAAAAAAACTGACGATATTTGTGTGCTATTAATATAATTTGACCTCCTAAAATGACCCCTTAGAAATCAAATTTGTTGTTAATGACCTCGGTGGTAAATTTTTTCAAAAACCAATATCATTGTTGAAACATGCATATGCTTTTACCTATAAAACGATACCTTGGACGGCTTGTGCTCTCTAAGACATAAGTTTACATTTGAGAATGTGTTCTTTTTTGCGTGAACAGTCCCTTAGAAGGCCCCTGAAAAAAACTTACAACATTTTTGGCCTATTTAACTACCTAATACCTTGAACCTATAATATAAATGGACTAATAACAAATGAAAGCGTGAACATTATTTCTAAAAGTAAAAATATTATTAATTAAAGTGATGACTTTTTAAAAATTTTTTTAGTAATTTCAGATTCACAAAAAATGTTTTACTTTTGTACCCTGGTGGGTTAGATAAAAAAATTTGATTGAAATAGCGAGCTGTGGATTGTACCAACTGATTTCAAAAAGAAAATGTTTAAAAAAATTATTTTTGTG